GTAAAGAGTATTTATACCCGTTACAAGGTGAAAGTGCAAATATAACACCCAAACAATAAAGAGATATTATAGATAAGCTGATTTATAAAATTTGCATAAATATTAATTATTTATAGAGGAGAAATTTTCAATACACAATGCTTCAAAGTGAAATTTGCTACTTTCAAATGGTTTGAAAAAATATTGGTTTACCATAAATATCATAACAAACAAATATGAATAAATTATCTCAATAGCTCTTTGGGATATTTCTAGATATGAAATGAATTAATGCAGCTATAAATCTATCAACGATTTTCTTATTTATTATATTTTATTAAAATTTTAGGCAATGCAATTAGTAAGAACTTGGGTTTGAAATTTAAATATTTTTGATATATGTAATTAATAAATAAAACAATAAATTAAAAAATAATGAACGATCTAAACATAATAATAAAATAAGTATAATATTTGTAAGTTGTATAAGATAGGGCTACTTTTTGAGCGAAATTAAAGAAAAACAATTATTTTATAATGATAACAAAAAGCAACAAAATTGAATCTTTCAGAACATGTTTTTTTTTAATATTTAAATATTTTAATTCTGTGTTCTGTATTAATTGGTGTATTGCATCTGTACTATTTGATACAGATATGTAATTTTCATTTTCTTTTTAAGTTGTATAATATTACCACGGATTTCACCTTGTGTCCCGTGTTTTTTTAAAAGCAATATTTATTCCGGATTTACACTTTTTGTCCCGGTTTTTATAAAGTATTAGATTTAAATTAAATCTTTACAATTACTTGATAATGAAATTACAAATACCCATCAAATATCTTAAAAAGATAAATAAAATAAGCATGCTTATATAAAACAATACGTATTAAATTGCCAAATGTTTAAACAAATATCACCTTAATTTAAAGCGCATTATTAGACAATATTAAGAATAAAAGCCACTATAATTTAAAAACACAACGAAAACAGATATACGCCAAATTAATTTACAACTAAAAGCGAATAAAATTTCTTGTAATAGGTGAAAATGCACTATTAAATAAATTAATTTAAATTTTATTACTCTATAATTTACTTCATTTCATCCATTGCCATATGATGAATTTCACTCGACTCATACACCCACATTTACCATGATGAATATGAGTAGGTACATGCTAATACATTCGAACTGAAATAATGATTTACGTCATGAAACCCGTTTAGCAATAATAATAAAAATGTTTTATGCAAGAAACTTTCGCCAAGTTGCGAATAAGACTCGGCCATACATCTTACCAGAGACACAGAGACACGTCCCAGTGCACGAGGAATAAAGCCCGAACTGGTGTATGATACATAGACCAGTGTTGTACAATTATTATATATTATCCAAATGAATCAAACTTTGGAAAAAATATATATGAAGATGGAAATATGTTTTACTAAGTAAATCTCACATAAGAACTTCTAATCTCGTCGAACTTTTACAGTTGAAAAACCCTTTGCGCAAAGGTTTGTCGGTTTTTAAAACCAGCGAAGTAAGAAAGAGAAAATTATGTAATTCGAAAACTGTTATTTTAGTTAAAAATATCGGTTCTGCTGTATGAATATCATTGAAAAAATTAATAATATCAAATGAAGCCAGTGGTACCAGATAGATGAAAACAATGTTGCAAATCGATACTCGATCTTCGTTTGTTTGTAAAAGTATTTACATCCTCATTTTATGTATAGAAGTTATGCATATGAATAACAAATAAATTTTTTAAGGTAATTTAATCCTGCTCAAATATGTTTTGTTTTACTGGATAAAAAAATATCAGCGAAATAGAACAGTAAATAACAGTAAAAGTATATACGCCATCATTTTATCTATATAAGTTATGGATATAATTAACAAATAATTTTTTTTAGGGTAATTTAATCCTGCTCAAATATGTTTTTTTTTACTGGATAAAAAAATAACATAGACATAGAACAGTAAATAATTTGAGTCAAAAACTTTTCATACTCGAAATTTTGTGTTCTTTTTTTTATGAAATACTATTTCAAAACCGATTTTCTAAAATGCTGGTTTTTGTATAAACCTTACTTTGCACTATTTCCTTCTATTCATATTATTAAGGGGTATAGTTTTAACGTAGTTTAAGCTGTTCAAAATTTTTTATAATTTATATATATATATTATATATATATATATATATATATATATATATGTAGATGCTTGAAAATGAATGAAAACTCTCTCAATATTTGTAATAATTGTCATGTCTACAACAATGCAAACTGACCTACTTTCAATGATCATAATCACATAAAAATACAATTCAAATCCTAATATATACATAGAATACAAAACAATAAATTAGTATTTTCAATAATACGTGTTTCAATTTTAATATTTGACAAATTTATGAATATTGCTATGTGGAAAATGTTGAAAACTACCCGAAAATATTGCAAATTAACAAACCATGTCGCCAATTGCACGAAAATTTTGTAAATTGACAAAAAGTACTCGTATTTTGGGTGAAAATACTGCAAATTGATTAAAAATGTTGTATTTGTTCGAAAATATAGGAAAATGGCTAAAAATGTCGTAAACTGTGAAATGTGAAATTTGTGACAAATTATAGGAAATACAACAAAGCAACTATATGCAGGCAAATTTACTAATATGCAAATATGCAATTGGCAATAATAGTGAAATTTTAAAAAAAGTTTAATAACAATGACACACTTATAATTATTTTAGAACATTTATTTCAGATTTATGCATGTCAATCTTTTGGATCATTTTGGTAAAACATATAAATCACATTAATCACATGCGTATGTTTAAGTTGATAGATATGTGTCTATATAGAGATACAATTCTTTGTCTTTAATATTCCATTTGGAAAGATTTTTCAAATATTATACATAAAATTTGTGACATTTCTAATATATCTGTTTTATGTCCAAGAACTTTTATATTTGTACTTACGAGTTGGGTACGGAACTGTTTCAATACTTAGTACACGAACATTTACTTATATAATCACAACGTGTTAATATCTTCTCTGACATATATTTTTAAATGTCAATATTTTATTACCCTCTGAAATTTTATGTAATAATATTTATTACAAAACTTTCCAAACTTATCATTCATTATCTTTGTTATGTCACCATCGGCGCAATCAAATTCGCTTTTTGTCGCAATTTATCTAAAGTAGTTTAATGAGGATTTTGCAAAGCCTTAAACTGCGGAATTAAATGCAGATTTAATCAGAATGTGAATAGTAGAAACACTAAAATTTTATTGCTCAATTCGAATTGTTTCACAGTTGCGGTACGTAAGCTATGTTTAATTACGCTTTTTTATTAACTGATTTTATTATGTAATTTTTATTGTAACAATTGAGATTGTTGATGACGAAAAGTAAACGATATTAATATGACTCTCCATTACTATTATAAAATGTGAAGTGCTTAAAAATTGCTTAATAACATTGTTTATTAAGCAATAAAATTTATGAACCTATTTATGATGATAATAAAATAAAAAAATAAAAATTTGTTTTAAATATTAATTAGTTTTTAATGATCAATAGTTTGAATGACAAATATTAGTCTAAAGTGTTGAGGCACGATATGAAGCCCTTTGACTATTCGAGATAATAATTTGAAACTTGTTTAGACAAAAGAATGACCTAAAGAGATATTTGTTTCTAGCGATAATGGGATTTATAATTTAAATGGGTCCCAGAAATTGAAAATCAAGTGGCTTGTATCAATTAACGCTTATGTTTCGATATCAAAAATACCGATATTTTTAAGGTGAATACCCGTGTTAAGACTGCCGAAAAATTAGACGGTATAACGGTTTTTAGGCATAGTTATCATGTTACATAAAGATTAGTGGTTTGCATATCATTTCGAAAAATGAATTAATGAAATAATTATAACCAGTTTTGAAAAATATTTAAAATAATAAAAGGCGACAATTATCTCGATATTATCATTTGAGTAAACGCCAAGTGCATTTCTGATCCGTAAAATGTTATTTACTAAATAATACACTTTTATAATTACCATCTAAAGCAAATTGGCAGAACAAAATAATTTATAGACGATTTCGCAAGTCATTATTAACTTCTCTAAGGAGAAATTTATGTTTTCATAAAAAAATCCGACTGGTTAATTTTATGTTTTCACGACGTTTCAAGTCATTCTAAATCGCTTGCGACCAAATTTGGTAAGAGCATGTGTGTGTGCGTGTGTGTTTAAACAGATTTTTTACTGTAAATCGACGTATTCTCAAAAACGGATAGACCGATTACAAAAATTTAAATGTCATCCGATGTATCTTGATGCGGACCATCGAGCAGTTTCTTTGTAATTTGCAAAAAATCAAAAATCAAAAAAATCGAAATATATTGGTTGGGAATGATACTGGGTAGATACTTGGTTGGGTAGATATCATGGTCTTAAAGATCATAAAATATTACGGCCGTAATTTTGATGAATTTTTTAACAGCGTTTGTGTTTGACGTTTGTTAAGTTAAGACATTTTACTGGTTATGGCGATATAGTACCTGGTTTTAATGAACTTACTAAACAATTATAAATCATACGGAAACTAGTACAATTATGAAACTTTACAGAATTTGGACATTTGCTTTTAGAAAACACTCGATTTCTAAAAGCAAATTCGATTTTCAATAGTGAGTAATAAATTCCACTTGGCATACTTATAAATAATTTATTTATTATTGATCAAGTCGATTCTTTATACATATCGGGAAGTTCATGCAACTTGCCTCAAGGCAAAATGCCACTTACAACTAGTTGAATTTTCCCTTCGAACAATTTTATAATTATAATTTTTTTTTAATATAATTATAATTTTATTATTTTCAGTTAGTAATTTGATTTACCCCAATTATCGATCAAACTAATAAATTTAATAGTAAAAAAAACAAAATAAATAAAACTTATTAACTATTCCTACCTTTACCCTTGCAGATTTCCCCGGCATGTGCTTCGCCAGCACCCGTTGCGCCACCGTTGAGCCCGGCAAGTCCTGGGACTTGGCCCCATTCTGCGGCAAATCCACCTGCGTCGTAACCGAAGAAAGCCCAGCTCTGCTCGAATTGGTTGAAGACTGCGGACCATTGCCTTTGGCCAACCCCAAGTGCAAACTGGACACTGGTAAGAGAAAAAAAAATTATTATGACTGAAGAATTAATAAAAGAAATAGTTAAAGTTAATAAGTATTTTGACCCATTTTACGTGGCTAGTCGGATAGATTTAATACATAAAATTTTATAGCTGTAACTTGAATTTCAAAATTACTGCATTTTTTTCAATTTTTATTTTTTTTAATTTAAATGCCATCCGATGTATCTCAATGAGGACTATCGTTTATCAGTTTTGCGCGATCATCGGTCGAGCCCTTTCTTTGTAATTTGCAAAAAATAAAAAAATAATACATAGAAATTTATAGCTGAAACTTGAATTTCAAAATTACTGCATTTTTTTCAATTTTTAATTTTATGACAATACTTTTTAAAAATTTTAAATTAAACGATTTTTATGAATGCCGTATGAGTCAACAAAAACTACAACGCAAAAGTACATTACTAGATATCTACATCAATTGGAAAGTGCTATATTTTGGTACAAAGTTTTTCGAAGCATTGATTTATTACATTATTTTTCATAACAGTTTATATACTTAATATATTTTCCTGATTCCAAAGAGCTTTCATATATCCTATTTTATCATTGCGCTTTATATGTGAAATAACCGAATAAGTTTTATAAAATACTTTTAGTTTCTTTTATAAAAAGATATATGTTCAAAAATATATCGCAAAGTTTGACGATAAATTATAAGATTGAGTTTAAGTTGAAAAATATTTAGAAAATTGTATAATGCAATGAAATGAATACTATAGCCTTCAAAAATGCATCATTTTTAATATTTTTTGTAATATATTTTGCGGATAGGAATTTATGGTTGTACAATTCGTTGTGAATATTGGTCAACACTTTCTAAAATAATATGTCTTTACATTTACTAAATAAATACACCGATAGGGCCTTTTTTGTTATTTAGTCCATAAGTATATTTATGATTGATCTTATAAGTCCAATTCGAGTTGTTTCGAATCAGGTTTTTAATTCGAATCAATGAATCAAGAAAATCTCGATTTGGTACCTCACTACTCGAATCTTCAGAAATTCTTAAACAAGTAAATTGTTTGAACATTGAGAAACAAAAAGAATCATAAATTATCGAATCTTTTTGAATATTTTGAAAATTTCAATAAATGCATCATTTAAGCCTATTTAGTGCATTATGCAGAGAAATAAAAGCCCATCTTGCAGAACTTTTTTTCATAATTTTAATTCTGAAAGTTCAGATTTTATATGCAAATAACATGGTGTATATTATAATATTCACTTATAATAAATATACTTAATAAAAAAAATTTAATACATAACACAGAAACAATTCATGACTAAATGTGTAGATATGTATTTTTAAGTGAATATTATAAATGACAAAATAGTTTATATGGCATTTATATGGCTAAGAATAAATGTATTACGATGCCCAAAGCAAAAATGATTCTTTTTTACTAAATTGTACAGAACTTCAATAAATTTGAATAAAATATATCTAGCATGTCGAGTAAATAAATAGCATAAAAATCAAGTTGAAAATTACCGATAACTTGTTATTTATTTTATTGTATTATACAATTTTCTAAATATATATTAACCTAAAATTTTATAATTTTTCGTCAAACTTTGTAGTATATTAACCTATGCTAATATTGCATACATATTATATATTGTATATATATATATATATATATATATATAATTTTTTTATCCGATGAAGTTTCACTAATCATAGCCAATGATTTACAGAAAAGACCAACAAAACCGCCCCATTCCCTGGATGCTGCCCCAAATTCGTATGTGAAGATGGTGCTAAACTCGAATACCCAGAGTTGCCAAAACCCCAAGAAGAGGCCGCTGACTCAACAACCACCAAGGCTTAAGTCTCTTAAATATATCTGAATTTTTAAAACATTTATTTAAGTTTAGATAAAAAAAAACTCATCATATAAGAAACATTCCACCACCAAAATAGAAGATAAAAACAAATGCAATATCATGAAAACAGCTAAAATTTCCTTTGGAGTGATGCTATTCATAAACCAAATTGGATCATAATCAACTGTACCTATAGAATTAAGTTTAAAAATATATGATAAGAGATATTTCATGGTGATAAATTATTTTGGAGATTGAGAAACACAAACTAAGTCTTAAAAACAGTTCAGATAATAATGTCGAAAAAGAACAAAAAAAAAAATTACATTAACCGCTTGATTATAAGTTTCGTATTATTTTGATTTGAAAATTTACTCAAATATTTTTGCACAATCTTTTACATATAGATAATAATAGCATGTATAAAAAGTTTCTATGATAAAGAAATGTATTATTACATGTAAGTTATATAAAAATATTAAAAAAGCAATAAAAAAATTCTTATAATTGATACTTATTCTACGGTTTTTGATTTTGAAAAATTTAAACTTTGTTTTGTAGTTTGCTTTCTTTTATTTTTTAAACTTAATGTGTTATATAAATGTATTTTTTATATTATATGCTACTATGTTTTGTTTAAAAAATATGCTGTGATTAAATTTAAATAATGAAGTTTCAGTACACGGTTTAATTTTTAATTTTTTAATTTTTTTCTAATATTTCTTACGATTTGATTATTTTGATCACTATACGTTTTTATATGTATATTTTTCTGTAATAAATCATAATAAAAATTTGAATGTGCGTTTTATTACAGAGCTCTATTTCATGTTATTTTTTATAGGTTTTCAGCAAAATTTTCATATAGTAAATAGCAAGTAGTGAACAAGTTACTTTTCAGAAAAAATCTTTTTCACAACAACTTAAAGATAACTGGTATTTTGAATTTTGACAAATGTTGGGACCTTTTTGAATTCTAAAAACAGTTTTAAACGTGAAATCTTGATAAATAATAGATCTAGTAAATAATGTATGAAATTCCAAAAAATGAGACCTAGTAAATAGTTTATAAAATTCCAAAAAATAAGATGTCATAAGTAATTCATAAAATACCAAAAATAAAGTTTTTAACTGTTAATTATGACGAATTTGTTTCCTTTCAATTACATCAAAAAAATTTCGATACACATTTGGTGTGTTAGTTTTTGAACAGTTCAGATTTTTAAAAGTTTATCAAAATGATTCTACTAATTGTCGACTATAATCCATAAACTTATGTATGATGGAAAGCTTTAAGGAATTATGAAATATTAGCTAAAGTTTAATATTAAGTGATAGCTTAAAATCGTGCTGTTTACTTCTACTAGCAATAACTTTAACCGTTAAAGATATCAATATATTTTGAGAAAGTTTAAAATTTTATGAGCTATATTATCAGGACTAAATGTAAATAAATGCACATGCCCAATACACAAATATACATACCCAATAAGTGAAGACATTCAAATAGTTACTTTTGGATACATTCATCAGTTTTGATTTGCCATAACTTATAAATTGCAAATTAACTCTTTAGACTATCATAACATGCGATTGAAAATTAGTCTTCTATAAAACCACAAGGTCATCAACATACCTTAAGGGGATTCTTCTTCCTCTTGGTGCAATATTGATTTCTTACGGTTTGTATTACCTAGGTAAAATCATGTATTAATCTTTTGCCCTATATGTAGGTTTGGCAATCCAATATTTCTGAAATCAATCTTCAAAATTTCCTAAAATAGCTTTCTTTGGCCTACTTGAATCCATTCTATAAAACAAAAGCAGATATCTAGGTTTCATCCAATCTTCCTAACTGCTTCAGTATTGTCTCTATTCAAAATATTAAAAATCATTATAAACAAAAATAACAAATACATTTTTGATAAAATTAACATATCTGATCGTCCCAGGTTCTTTATACCTAATCATATAAACATAAAGAAAGTTGAACATAAAACATACAGAAGAAAACAACTACTAGAATTATAAAGAATACTTAAATAAAATAGGGCATTGTACGGATAAATTCGTAACTTATAAAATATACTATGCCCAAAAACATGCACCAATAACAAATAGTTAAATAAGCTCAAATAATGTTAAATAAAACCCTCAACCGTAGAAGGAGTTAATATAATATTTTTATTTTAAATATATTGTTTTATGTTATAATGCATACTTTTACAAATATATATATATATATATATATATATATATAAATATAAATATATATATATATATATATATATATATATATATATATATATGTATATATACACTTATATAAGTATGTCCTGTCGCTTATATAAGAATGTGTTATAGTACTACAATATATTTTGACTAACTTAATTTGCTAACACTTATGTACATCAACAACTTTATCCTAATAAAAATAAATATAATTATTTATATTTTTATAACTATATAGATAATTACATACAGATTATATATATATATATATATATATATATATATATAATCTTGCAAACTTAAAGCCTAAATCGAAAACACATATACTTTAAAATAACATTTTTATAATTCTTTGTTCAATCTAAACATAATAATATTTATCAGAAAGCACATCACAGGGTAGGTATATAAACCTACAGCGCTCAACACATTATAACTACTCAATAATTTTCTAAATATTCAAATAATTCAGTATCATTCAAAAAACTAACGACATGATTCAAATATACTTCGAAAAATAATTATCGAATTTCAGATTTAATAAAAATATATGATTTTTGCTCGATTTCATTCATAATATGTTGAAGTTACATGATTCGAAAGATGTATATATACGTAACCTTTACAATTAGTTAGGGTTTATTTAAATATATCCTTATTTGATATTATATATATACGTATTTGTAAAAACAACGCATATTTCAATGAATTTTATTTTCAAGCTACATTCCCAAAAAAAATTGATTAGATTAATATTATTAAACTTCATGGATTGATATAAAATTGATAATAAACCGAAATTTTTAGGTTCTGAACACCGCTGCTGAATTAGTCACTTTAAAATAAAAACCTTATGTAATTGTATATTTTCTCGTCTTGTAGTAATTGTATAATATGCTAAAATATGTCGTACATTTACTTTTCCCATAATTGTCATAATACAAATAATAAACTTAATATGATTTCTAGAAAATCTAATTCACTTTTATTCGCCTACTATGCAGTAAACAACTAAAAGATTAAGGTCAGCGTTCAGTATGCACATTGGCTAAATTTAACACTGAAATACTTAATCTAACTTATTATTCGCATTCTTTTTTATTTTTTTAATTTCCATATATATAAAAGGCGTTTTATTGATACGATATTTATATGAGTTTTTACACAACAATATAGTCAGGTATATATACTTGTAATTTAATTTATATATATATATATATATATACATTATATGTATATATATTATACATATACATTATATGTATATATATTATATATTTTCTCCAGGCATTCATTCAATCATAATACGAAACTTAATCAGATTAAATGTAATAATAAGTCATCCTGTTTGACTTTGTCTCATATTCATACTGTCATGATGAATGATGACTTTAATATTTCGAATTAAGTATATCTTTTTTAAATTAACTAAATGTGACGTTTTTGTGTACTTTTTAAAATCAATTGTGTGTTATATGCAATAAAGAAAATTAAAATCTAACTTAAAACGTATATCAATATTTTACTCTACATTCAATAACTGGATAAAATCCTGCTAAAAAACCTTTTTTTATGTATATATATATATATATATATATATATATATATATATAAAGAAAACATATTTTTAATTTTAATTTAACAATTATGTTAATTGTTAAGTCAGATTAATGATCAATCAACAAATTCTACGATTATTAATGAACATTTTCGAACTAAAAATTTCTTCCAAATGCATCTGCGATATATATGTACCCTAATGTAATCATTGTTACGAAAATTGCACACATTTGGCAATTACTTGTACTATACCATAAGAAATAGTCAATAAAATAAAATGCCAACTTCTGAATATTCAAATGAAATTGTTCGAACAAAATTTGTTTTGCGATTTATCAGTCATATAAGATAACCAAAAAATGTTTCACCTTTCCAAATTTATATACAACTTTATATCTATTTTTGATAAACGTAAACGTATTTATCATGAAACTGCAAAGTAAATATTTGATGTCAATTCCATAAATATGTCACTGAATTTTCATTTCTCAAAACGCAATATTTGGCAACTTAGACAAATGATTATCTTTAGCAATGTAAATATATTTGTGTACATTACTTTCAGAAAAAATGATCAGTTAATCAGTTTTAGATAGTTTTTAATAAAAAGTTAAACGATTGTAAAAATAATAAGTGTAATGTTTGCAGTTTAAAGCTTTTTTAAAGATAGTTTCCTTTAATTATGTTTGAATTATATATATATATATATATATATATATATATATACTGAATATTCATTATTATAATATGAATGCAGTGATATTAATGACGACTTACAACTATAGCATTTAAAATGTTGTGCGATTACAAAATGACAGACTAGGCTATATCCATTTATAATTATCGTTGCATTATACAATTTTACGGTTATATAAATACAAACACAATCACACACACTTATATATATGGGTGCACTGCCCTAGGGAAGTATAAGGTGAGAGATTATCGATCGTCATTTTACACCGCAGTGCCCGAAATGAGCTATTCTCAACTGAAAAGATATTTTTCATCTATATTTCCAAGTGTAAATGAACATCGCTACTGCACGATATCAAGTTGTCAAGAGCGCAAGCTCGAACTCACGACCCTCTCCACACAAGGCAGCGCACACTTATATAGACGCACAATTTTTTCACTAGTGCGTATGAGCCCACATACACTTTACTCTTCAAAAGATTATGACAATGCAACTCGTTTGTTACTATTTAATAGTAATTTATATTAATCTATTTGATTTAGGTACATTTTAGTACGTTAACCATTATGATAGACAATAAACATTTAGTATTATTACCCATCTTTCATACTTTCTAGTCACTAAAACTTTTTGTATATTATTATACGTTAAGGTAATTTCTTTGTATTGATATTAGGTATTTTCTGTAATATGTGTGTGAAGTTGCACAAGATATGGTTTATTAAATCAGTAATATTCATTTTTTATTATTTATGCACCTGATTTAGTCTGATTTTGAGAAACTGAATTTTAATGTTTTGCAATGTGACGCTTTTTACAGATTCAGTTTAATAAAATTCATCGTTGCCATTGAACTTAGTCTATTGGTGAAATATATTGATTTAATCTTGATAAAGATTAAAACTAATCATGCGTTTACAATAAAAAAAAGATAATGTTAAATTTAAGGTCACCTAATAAATCCGCAACCTAAAACAAATTTGAGAGTAAGATTTTGATTTGATAAAAGATTTTATTAAGAAAATATTTATATTTCCATATTATAAATGATGGAATTATGCTACATAGTAGCAGTGGCAAATACTCCGATAAAATAAATAGCGTTGTTATGGCAACGCTATGATTCGTTACTTTCTTCATAAAAAATGGTACTAAAAACGATCAAAAGCATCGTATTTCCTATGCAATCAGAGGTTTTGAATTTTCAAGATAGATTTTATGTCTAAAACGCCCGATAGCACAGCAAATACATAGCATTTGGACAGTTTTTAGTACTATTTTATATGAAAAATGTAGCGCAAAATAGCGCTACCGTAGCCTTGGTCTATTTTACTGCAGAACTGGCTCATATAGGTATCACTTTAGTATTGCAAATATACCTATTTACCTGAATAGTTTATCATATAAAATTTTCTGTAATTAATATAGCTCTCAAATTTGTAAGTTGTGCCTTTATGTGTTTTCGAACTGAATACTTTAGTTTAAAAAAAATAAAAATTCTATGATTTTATGATTGTTTCGACACAAAACTAATAATAGAAATATGTTATTACCTACGGTATTAGGAATGTTATGAATTTATGTAAAAAATCAAATAAATTCTGAGAAAAATGTCTGTTCTAAAACGCATGAATCTTGATACAAACTGTTTTTTCTTGTATTATACCTCCCATAAAATTATAGTTCTAACAACTTTAAATATGAAATAGTAAACATATCATAGTTCTGCAATTTTCATTAACCTTCAAACTCTTAAGTTATATAATGATATATATTGATAAATGTACATCAGTAATGAATTGTTAAATAGACTATGAACTTCTTATGAAATCTGTAGACTCAAAATGATTACATTACAATAATATATACTATTTCATATTTAAAGTATAAATAGTAAAGTATAATATAAGTAAATTATTTATAAGTAAATTTACTATATGGGGTTAATATAAATCACTAAACTCTCACAAATTCGCCCAATCAACTTTTTCAATAACATAACAGCAAAAGCTATAAAAAATTCTTGATATCATATCTACATATAAATCTCGTATTTGAAAAGTTAGCGATCCATCAGAGCAATTGTTTATGTAATTCATAATATAACACTAAAGATTTTAACGAAGCTTTTCATGTCATTACACGAATGATGTAAAATGCATAACAATTCTATAGCAAAATGTCATTATACAACATTAATTTAATTTATCACAAATTCGAAATCATAAATATTAGTTTTATTTTATTTGCAAACAGTAAAGTACCTTAAATCTTTAGTTTTATATTCTTCTATAGCTCACATATGACTTTCTATTAGTCTCTACACAGAAAATATATCAAGGCGTATATTTGAAGCATTCATTATTTCTAATGTCGATACAAATTTTCATTACTTTTTATATATAACATTAATATTTTCTTATTTTTATAATAATTTTATGATAATATTAATTAATACAATTATCAAGCCTAAAAATCTAATGTAATAATACTGTCAACGATTTTTAATTTTTATAGTCTTTTTAAATGACATATAAAACTGTTTTCACAAATATTTTAGAATTACGTTTTCATCATTCATATATTATGTAGATGTATACTATGTATACACGTTTTAATGTATATATTTATATTTCTATATATACTTATATAAATATAATATATAATTTTAATATATTTATATACAAAGATCTGATTAAAAGTTCATTGAAAAAAATATATATCAGGTGCGCTAGGATTATGATTAACCTTGCATTTGTTTTAAACATTGTTTTGTCTTTTTGATATTTGGTAAATATTCTTATATTGTATTTGATTATTCAAAAAATTCATAAATAAATAAAAGTATAACAAATAAAATATAAAAAAAGATAAATTGCAAATATATAAAAAATGCCTTAGTTCTCAACGACAACTTTAAAAAAACTAATCACATTCGATATATAGTTAGCTTTTAATTTTGATTAAAAAATTGTCACAAATCTAGCCGTCATGAAATAATTAAATGCTCGTGCAACACATATGAAACGTTTTTAATGTCTCCATAAAATTTTAAGTCCGTCTGATTATTTATATTTGGATATTAAAATTTTGCATAATTCATAGTTGAAATTCAACTAAAAATTATTCAAAATTTCAATATTCAAATATAAATCCATTAATACTTTAAAAACCTAAAGAAATTTATGTATAATAAATTCTGTGTGATCCAGCCTTTTCTGCTGGATTGATGGCTACTTGTATATGTGAATATTATTATATTTCTGATATAATATTATATTTGAGTAATAATCTGATATGAAATTTTTTTATGAAAAATTACGGAAAATATAATTTTCTTTTGTGAGAATAATGAAATTTAAAAACTCACAGCCAGAGTTTAAAATGGAAAATCAATACAATATTGAATATGCCGAATATACCGAAGAAAAATATAAAAAATGTATTTAATAGTGATTTGCAACGTTCAATAATATTTTCTAATATCGAATATTGATTAATAACAACTTGTTATTTGTGTTTGGCTCGTTAAATTTCTAAAAATAAAATTAAAAAAAAAATAACTCAAAATAAATTTATATAGCTAATTATATATTTTGTGGATGTTTGACTAGGATAGATCGTTAATCGATTTATAAATGACGACTTTATAATTTCCAATCCTTGTCCAAATTTGTGATTATGTTTTAATTTCAAATAAACAAAAATATTTTGAATTGTGTTGAATTCAGCTTGCATTCAAGATAAGTTTCAGTAAATTTCTAAACTATCATATATACTAATATATTTATATTTTGTATTATGTTTATAAAATAGTATATCGCTTCGCTAAAATTCATTATTTTATAAAAAATAATATTATCAAATAATAATCTATTCTGAAAGCCTTTGCACCTTATCAAAATTTATAATAAAAAAGTAAATAATATTGAAAAATCTATCAATGTTTCTCAGTACAAATTGAACATGACGCAAGGTTAATTTGATTAGAAGTATTGAACTTGAATTCACTTCGTTTAATTAATTCTATTATAAAAGTGCATGGAAATCAATAACTTAGTGAGCGCTGATTGCACAAAAACAATTTTAATTAAATACAAACAGAAATAATGTAACTACTTGTATTTAGTACTAAAAATAATTCTTTGATCCATTGAGTACTGATACTTCGATGTAATAGAAGTTTCTTTTTAACATAAATTATTTTAGTGTAATTTATACTTCAAATTGTTAATTCTAGTTAATTCTAATATATATGCAATACAAAAAGTGTTAATCGATGGATTTTGCACTAATATATTGTATATTATATCAAAAATTAATGAAAGTCTATACGAATTTTATAGTATAATAAAAAAAATGACTGTTATTAAATTTGTATTTGCACAATCAGTCCTCAATAACCCAAACCAAAATTAGTGTTAGTCTAGAATAACGAAAATTAGTATTAGTATAGAATAAAGATAATAAATACATAGTTTAAAACATAACTATAGTATTATAAATAGGATTAGGATTATTATATTACATACCCAAAATTTCTCAAAAATATAAATTCGTGCTGACCCTCGAACATACATATGTGATTTCGTATTTTTAAAGTAATCTTAACTTATTCGGGCTTTAACCTGTGCCATTGAACGATGGTTTGTCGAGGTTTCGTGATCATGTCTTGCCAATGTTTCGTTTCAGATGCCCCTGAGCCATTTTTACCTAGAAAGATAATTTTTGTTAGAAACAAATTACTTAAAATTATCTATAATTGAAGAAACTGGAAAATGATTTTATGAAGTAAAACTTCTTTAGGCGCAACCATGGTGTAAAACTGTGAGAATGCTACGGAAATTGCGTTACGCCGTCGTGTGAATAGAGATCTGTCGTTCTATGCGTACCGGCATCAACATTGTATGCGTACCGATATCAACAAGGAAATCGACATAGATAAATAAACATTTTAAAATTACATCGTAGCACAAATCTTGATTTAATGAAAAATGTTTTATGAATCAGAAAAATATTTTAGCCTGTTTCCCGTAAATAATTAAAATGAAAATAATAAAACAAATGAAACATTTGTGCCGTGTGCTAAACGTAAGTTTATTGAAATAATTTCTATATTATTCATAGCTTTTATAAATCTTTGAAGTTATTAAAATGAAAAATATTTTAAGCAAGACAGATTTTATAGCTGCTCAAAGAATGAGATTATATCGCTAGCGAAGAAGTAAAAAAACTAGTAGGGTGGGTGGCATCGTGCCTTAAGGCAAATTGCTAGAACTTCCCGTACCGTAACGAAATGTTCGAAGAATACTGAATGTTTTCAAATAGATTATTATAAATATTGTAACATTGTCTAACATTTATAAGAATTATATAAACTGAATTGCAAAGTTGAAATTACTTGTTTAAAGTATATTAGAACTATAGTCAGAATTGAAAATAAAATCTGAATTATTTTCGATACACAAAAAATTAAAAAAAAAAAAAAAAAAAATGAAACAAAAATTTTTTTGCAGAATCAATTATTTTGTTAAGACAAGCAGAAAGTTCTTTGAATCATTCAAATCGGACGCTTAGTTCTCTCAAAAACTGCCATTTTTTACATATTTAGCTTCGTATCTTCGAAATGGCTGGGCCTGCTATTGCCAAAATCTAATAAACACTTCTCCCAATCATTCCTAATTGAATGTTTTTTAGATCATTCAAATCGGATACTCCGTTCTCTCAAAAAGTCGATTTTTATTTTCTGCACTCTTTGCTCCGTATCCTCGAAACGGCTGGACCTGCTTTTTCCAAAAACTAATCAGCTCTTTTCCCTATCGATAGAAATCGAATGTTTTTTGAACCATTCAAATCGGTTGATCCGTACACCCGAAAACGTGGGCGAAAATTTGTATCCATACATACATGCACACACACACACACATCCATTTTTTCTGAAGTATGCCAAAATGTTCAGAAACCTTCAAAACGTCGAGAAATGTAAAAAATTTCAATTCCGATTTTCGGCCCATTACAATAACTTACCCTACGGGAAGTTAAAAATCAACCAGTCAATAAATGTATGTTAATTTCAATTACACGAAGTTTTTCGAACACAATTATTACATGATTGTTTTCAAATAATATACATATTTTTAATGCTATTATAAATTGTTAATTTATAATTTATTATTATATAAATGCGTATAATGGTTGGCACTATAAATGTGTGCATCACGAGTGTTACCATATTGCTAATAAACATTATTCAAAATTGTTATATAATGTATTTATTTACAATTGAAATGCCATCCTGTGATAACAAAAACGTTTTACTTCAAATGCGTGTGAACTTTACACGCACTCTTTTTTCATATCTTTACCTTTCAAAGGTTTCTGAACATTTTATCATACCTAACAAAAAATGTATGTATGTGTGTGTGTATGAATGTATGTATGTAATAGGATACTCATTTTCATCTCTGATTTCGAAAGCATGGATCAACCGATTTGAATAATTACAATTAAAAAAAATACTAATAATTTGGTATCCCAATGGTTAACCTATCCATATTTTGATTATTTTATTATTAAAATTTATATATTAGGGCTGATATATTATTCAATTAGATGCAGCAATGCCCTTCAGAAAATAGCCCTACACGTTATCCTTTGAAAATTTTATGAGCACAATAGCTCACAGAAATAAAAAGTGAATAGACGATAGTTTTGAAAAAAAAGTCTAGTCGTTTCGACACCAATATTTGATTAAATATTGGTGTCAAAGATTTATTAACATTATTATACATTATTGTTAACATTTAATTTAATAACATTTAATATACATATTAAAGACAAATGAGATTAACTCTAGACAAATATTTCAAAGTTCAGGTGAATGCATCGAATTTTATCGAGAGATAAAAAAAGTATAATATGTGAACTTTATAAACTGTTTTAATTTTAAATAGACGAATTTATTAGAAACCGAGTGTAGATATGAATTTTTCTACAAAATTTGGAATTTTCACTCGAATTGTCGGAATATTTACTCACAGTTATTTGTTGACCAAACTTTACACTTTTAATTATTTGGAACTCAAACTTTAGTAAAACCCTTACTTTTTCTACACGCATAAACAATGACAATCGAGAGTTTCTATTTCTGAATAATTGAATTAATTCATTTCCAAGAATTTCGATCAATCAACTCAGAGTTATTAATTTTAGGCATGCATACTTATATAAATGCTACATCTCCACTACACACGTACTTTTTAATTCCAAAATGATAAGAACTCTTCGAGACATATCAGGACATTTCTATTTTTTATTTTCGATTTATTCTATGGGACTTTAATGAAATTCTATAAGCATTACAAGACCACTTTATTTTGCCGACCGCTTTTCTCCGTCATGTTGTTCAAAATAAATTTTATATGGTATATTTGCTGAAGTTTCGTCTACCAGTATATAAGGTAATAATAACATGTTATAGTAGTCACATAGAAAAAGTATATAAAGAAGCTATGAAGTTTGAATTTTCTAGGATGTATTTTACTAAAGCTAACTATATCACGTGTTATGTTGCCATATAGGTAACATATAGGTAAATGTAGAACAAACAATGTTGTGAGTATAAGTTAATACAATCATAATTTAAGGTGACATGTCTGCAAAATTAGAAAAAAAGCGAAAATAATTTAACACATGAATTATGTAAATCTATTGTTATATATAACCAAGAACCACATAACCTTGCCTAAGTTAGGTCGATGAAAGTCGAGACACATATTTTATTAGGAAATTTAAAAATTTATTTAACGTTTATTTAATGCTCTAGATATATATATATATATATATATATATATATATATATATATATATATATATAGTAGGATTTTGAGCAAATTTTATTTTAAAATTCATCAATAAAATATGATGCAAAATTTTCAAAAGAGTAACAAACGCAAATATCGTAAGAAGAAACATTTCTACAAAATCTATATTGTAAATGAAGTGGCAAATATGCGAGTAACATTAATTCTTATGCAAATAAATGATTGAGAACTTTGCACACTATGCAATGTCAATTGATAATTTTTGCTGTCGATGTATTAATTAAAATTAGAACTGATTAATAATTTTGATTAGAAAAAGAAGATGATATTTATTTTGCGAACAAAATCTGTGGAGACATTGAATCATTGTATATGAGAAATAAAAAGAAACACATAGTTAATTAAACCATCTTTCAAATTTTCTTTCGTTTTTAAATTTGCAGGTTTATAGTTGTATATGAAACTAAATAGAGATAAGCAAGTTTATAGTCAAATAATTATATCTCATCATAAAAAGCTTGATTTTAGATGAAATTTTCTGAAACTTTGAATTGTTTCTCTCCGCATTGTTTCTGTTGTGTTTGTTAATTCCATTTGTGTCTCACTCAAAAAAGTTGTCTAATTAGTCCAGATAGAACAGAACAAATAAAAGTTGCAAATTAAAAATAAAGATTATTAATTTAATAAACCAGAACAACGAAAACATTTCTTGATACTGAACAAGTCCACAAAATAAACATACAATGTTCACAATTTGAAACAATAGTTTCATTTCATATTAGTTTCATAATAGGTTTATGTATATATATATATATATATATATATATATATATATATATATATATATATACGAATATATACGAATTCATTCAATGGTTGTATATAGCATTTTTTTTAATTTGACATCATATATATATATATGATGTCAAATTAAAGAAAATGCTATATACAACCATTGAATGAATTCGTTTTGAATGTAAATGTTAATTTAGCCCACGTGCACAATCGGAATATCGATTTGATACAAGAAATTCTATCATTTCATTTAGAAAGTTGATTAAAACTTTTTCCCTCACAGCTCGGGCTCCTTTGAATGTTTTAATTTCCTGTTAAAGGCGCAAGAATCGATTTTAGGGCTTGATTAGTCTTCATTTCATTTGGGGACCTCATAAAACTTGATACTATTTAATTTTACGAGATATAGTCGTGTATTGGAATTTGTAAGTAGCATTAAGGTGTCCAAGTAAGGATACTTTTTCACGGATATTGCCTCGATATAAAGATTAGGTTTTGATTAAATAGTAATGATATTATCAACATCACATTATCTCGAATTGTAATTTTAATTTAAAGTATTATACATAATAAGCTTGGATTTGATTTTTGTTTTGAATTTTGGTTATAAGCCTTGTGTAATCAGTTTCAGATATTTCGTGTCATATATACATATATTCAAAACATGCAAAATTAATAGTGTGACGAATAAACGCCGATGTGTTCTTGCATCTAATATCAACAAATGAACCGTTAAAAGACAATTATCAAACTTATAATTTTGTGTTTTCAAGCCCTATTTATAGTACATAAAATAACAAATATTTTATAACAATCATTATATGAAAAAAAAAAATAATTTAAAGATATAGTTGTATCGCTGTATCTCTTTGGTCCAATATTTCACTTACCGTCGATTGGTTTGTGTGAGAAGAGACTATGAAATAAATTACGACGCGTATCGAAATATTACAGTTCTTGAATTAATGAAAGGAAAGCGTTTTAATTAAAGTAAGAATAAATGGAATTTATACTCGGATAGTTTGTGAGACGTAATTATATCTACGACGTAAATGCACTGGGTTGTACACGTTCACGTTTTATGACAAAGAAATAATATTACTATAAGAGTACTAAAATATAAAACTTTAAATACTTTAGATAATTCTTGCCTATTTAAATACACGTAGGCATATATAAAAATTATTATATATTGCCTGAAAAATACTCGAAAAAATATCAAGCGTACATACTAGTTTATTAAGTGGTTTCCAGAACTCGATCATTTTGATTTTGCAAACTAGGATTTTAGGTAAAGAAATTTTATTAATACAGTACAAAAACAAGTTATTATTCATTTAAATTCATTTGAAAAGTTATTATTCGTTTAAAGCTCAGAAATAGAAAAAATATGTCATAACTATTATTACTGATATATAAAATAATATATAGCTTGATTAGTTAATCTTAAATGAGCACGGTTCAACCGAATTGTTTGATTAAAAAAAAACATTGGACTCGCATTGACGAGTAAACGTACTCTTTAGTTTCAGCAAAGACAGATCTAGCTGTTTCGAATATACGAGGCAGAAAATGCCAAACTAAAATGCGATATTTTAGTTTTTGAGAGACAGATTCCGACCGATTAGAATCATTCAAAAAATATTTCACTTGTATTAATGGACTGAAGAATAGATTAAATTTTTGGGAAGGCAAGTCCAGCCGCTTCGGAGATCCATTAAAACAAAGTTAAAAATGAAAGCCATTTGGCAGTCATAAAATATCAATACACATGTGCACAACAGGAAGTACAAATTTTGTTCACATTTCTATGAGTTCCATACCAAGATTTATACATACAACTATTTATTTTATTACAGTCATAGCCTCAAAATATTCTAAACAAAATTTCATTTTAGAATATATCTAGCTTGCTTAAAAAAAATTAGCATAAATTTTAGCAAATGATTGCTGGTTTATACGGGTGACAAATACGAATATGCTCTACGAGTATAAAATTCTGCCACTTCATCACCAGTATTTGTTAATCATAGTAAACTCGTTAAATAAAAAATCTACAATAGCCTAATTATTATAATAACTCAATAAGTCAATTTACCGAATATCATATGAAAATCGATAGCGTTTCAACTAATTAGTGTTAATAAGTTAGTTGATAATGCATAATTATTACTCCAGTCAATGGAGCGTTTTGGGTATGAATTTTTTTACTGTGCTCCGATTTGCATAAAATTTTGGAATTAGGTACATCTTACCCCAAAACAGCGATTTATCAAGATTTTTATCGAAATTATTTTGTTCATTACATGATTTTCGTTATGATGTATATTTTAGGAGATATTTGCAAAAAAACGAAGAAAAACGCCAAAAATATATGAATTTTTAGTGGCCAGTAACTCGAAAAGTATTAGTTCTTTTGGAAAACTTTAATAGACATTGTTTTCTAATAATTAATTCTTCTATCGATATCTGACGTTATTTTGGAAAAATAAAATTACACAACTGAGAAGGGGTGTCATCTCTCCGGGGGGTGGTGGCGGCGTCCAAATTATTTTCACTTGTGAACTTGAGGGTAAGATGAACCTAATACCAAAATTTGATGCAAATCGGAGCACAGTAAAAAAAATTCAGAGGTTATACCCTATTTTCGTCTCCGTTTACTGCACTATATATAGAATCTCAGAAAAAAAACAAAAATATAAAAATGTTTTTCTGAGCATAAGCTAGAAATAAGCGTCAATTTTCGAGGATTAGAGATTAAAGTAAATTTTGATCGAAATCTAATATCCCTGTGTTGTTACCTGCTAACAATATCCTCCCTATCAGTTCGTTCCGTCCAATATTGTCGAAGTCCATGACCATGACATCGAGGGAGCATTCGCGAATCTTCTCCCACGGCACGTTGAAGCTGAACGAATCGTTGAACACTGGATTAAGGGTGCATTTGAAGATAGCTGTTTTACGTTTCTCGACGCGTTTGTCGGAAAACTGCAGCCATACTTTTACGTACGGATCTGAAATTCAAAACACATATGCTAAAATATATAGGTTCGAGGAGATTAGGGTTTTATGGATGCACTATCATAATGCATAAAAGTTTGAAAGAGTTTGTACTTTCTTCATAAACTTATAGTTTTATTATACTAATAATGCGCATTGCATAAACATACACACACATACATATACATATATATACATATATATATATATATATATTTATATAAGTGAGTGCCTAAAGCATTTTTATTATAATTAGGATTTTAAAATAAATGATTTAAAAGTAATATAAAATTTCCATGATGTATGTTTTACGATCTTTTGTGGTTTAGATTTATCGTTTTTCAATTAAACGATCTTTTACATAATTGGTTTCGTAGAAATTTTGACCATAAATCTACGCATGTTTATTATCTTAAATTTGCGTTCATTTACAATTTAAATTGCAATTAAATTTAAATTAGCATTGTGTCAATTAACAGTAATATTGCAATAGATGTATAGTTTATATTTGAAAACTAGTGTTTGCATCTAAAAAACAATTTTATCACGGGAAATAGGGAATAAAAATTCTAGGCTTCAAATATATATATATATATATATATATATATATATATATATATATATACATATATATATATATATATATATATATATATATATATATATATATCTACATATATATATATATATATAAAAATAAGTCGGGATTTCCTTCCTGACGATATAACTCCAGAACGCACGAACCGATTTCGACAATTTTACATTCGTTGGAAAAGTTTCCGCAAGCAATATAGCTAAGAAAATTAGTGGTGCATGGCATCGTGCCTCAATGCAAATTGCTTGAACTTCACGCACCGTAATTAAAAATTTGAGTAATGACATTAGTGAAAATTATCAGAATTATGCTTGGTTAAGTCAACGAGCAATTGTTGCCGCGAAGAATAATGATGTACACGCACTGAATTTCAACATTCAATCAAAAATTGCTGGCAATTTGGTGACATATCAATGATTCCGACTGGTCTTCCGTTTGACTTCAAACAATTGTAATTTCCAGTTCGCCTTGCGTTCGCAATAACAAGTCGCAAGACCAATCGCTCAGTGTTTGAAGGATAAATTTCAAATAGATTATTTAGAAAATCATTGTTTTTCATATGGGCAGTTATACGTTGCCTGTTCACGAGCTGGAAAACCATCCGCTTTGTTTGTGTTAACGTCCGACCAAAAAACAAAAAATGTGGTTTACCAAAGAGCACTTTAATGAAACGGATAATTTGCGGATTCACTCTCATTTACTTAGAAAAGTTCAATTAAAAACACTTCATTTTTGTAATCGAAATAAATTCATTACCGTTGTGTAATAAAATCATTTTTTTCTTTTTCAAATATAAAACAAACAAAAAATTTCTTCATCTTTCTCACGAAACCAACTGGTGGCGAAACGGAGTTTGTCGGGTTTGTTAGTATATGTATATATATATATATATATATATATATATATATATACTAGGGTGGTCCTTAACAAGGACATTTTCGAATTTCTATGCTCCCAAGGGCGCCAATGCTTCCGAATGAATAAAAAATGAATCTCTAATAGTATTAGCTCTGAATATAAACATTTAGATATAGCGCACGCCAATTAGAAGTTTCATATATTTGTTATTTGTCATTAAGTAAATTCTTGCATCATCTGCGACACATAACGTAAACTCAAATAATATGACACATAAGAATATTTATAAACCACTTAGGTGCAAAAGACAGTTAAGAGATTTATTAGTTAATATTCATTCTATTCTATTCATTTTCAATAACAATTTTTACTTAATTGTGTAACACTCGCAGTATCTGAAAAGTTATGTATTATATATATATATATATATATATATATTTAATTACTTAAGTTTCGATTATTATGTGAAAGCGTGAAAAGAGCATTACGTGGTACAGTGAGTCAATATAAGATGAGATACGGAAAACAGCATCGCAACAAGAATATTAAACATAGTCAGATCCAATTCGCAAATTTGCTGATGTGGGGTTTTTACTTATATTCATCAAGAATGTATATTTGGGGTTTTGTGAACCTAATGATATTTGGGTACTAATGCTGCCTGTGCGAAAAATGTTAATCGTGACGAAATCTGGCAAAATTAATTTATATATGTCATTAGAGAGCTTTCGGAAACGTTGATCGCAAAGATTACACAATACAGGTTCAAAAATGCAGGAGTATGTATACTTAAAAAATTAGAAGCATTTCAAATAATCTATTCCACAAATGAAACTAAAAATAAATAGAAACCTTATAATATCGATACTAGGTGATTGAGAAAATTTTCAATGAAATATAACGTATTTTTAATAATGTTCAAAATAATTAAAGTGTTGTCCCAGTTTTCCACGATACTTGTTTTGAGGCAAATTAAAAATACCAAAAATCTAATTTATTCGTTGAAAATTTTATACAAACATTTAATTTTTTATAATATTGTAGACATTCCAAAACATATTAATAATGAATTAAACAAGCTAATTTTTACGAATTCAATAAGCCTATAATCCGCATATAATATCTATATCTGAATAATAGCAAATAAAAATCGTAGAAAATGTTCATACAGGCAATTGTGCATTTATTATGACTTTGCCTAAGAACAGTTTCGCTTTGAATATTCTCATTGAATATGAAGTAACTGAGTAATTGTCGGTTAACAATAACTGTAACTGAGTAATTTGATAGTCGAGGTATAAAATTTTTTGAGAAAAATATCATTGTAAAAACCAAAATATTGAATATTGAATTGAATTGAATTAAGCCGTATACTGAATACGTTTCAAACAGAAATCTCTACAAAACTCTAATCAGTTAGTAGAAATTCATGCTTATATTTTTTTGAGAATATTTTCACACACACATACAATTTGCTATTTTAAATTAAATGATTCAGAATGAGTTCAAATGTAGAGGATGCGAGTCGAATTTTCTGGATAAAACATAAACTCTCTCGGAAAGTTAATAATGTCTATAAAACTTCTAATTGAAAACATTGAATTGAAATACACATCCACAGAAATTAAGCAGACAGACAGTGCCTAGAATAGAACCCTACTTAAATATGAATGAATTTCCTAAATAATAAAAGGTTTTCTATTATCAAATTCTGCGTAATGTAGCCGAAGGTAAATATATTTACCTGATTTGCCATTAATATCCTTGGCTTTCAGGTTTCGCGCTTTGAGTAGACCCAACGTCAGTATGCTGTTACTGGGATGATAGCACAGAGAACAAAGTAATTCACCACATTTATCTTTTGCGGGAGGCTTAAGCGCCTTCCAAAACGACGGTTTTTCACTGAAATCCACCTAAAATTGATAGAAATTGTATTAACGTTAAATTCAATTCAAAATTACATATTGATTAGTTTTATCCATGTTTCTTTCGATTATTGAATGATAGAAAGATGCTTGGAACAAAAACTTGGTAGGACTGAAGAGAAAAATTTGCATGCAAATAAAAATGCTAAATTCTGGTCTCTATTGTCAACTACTATATCGTTTAATGCCGGCTCTTACTGATCAGAAACAGCCTGAATTGGATAACAGTAAAGGTGTTGTGACACCTCACTATAGTGAGTTACTAGAAACTTCCTTGGCGCTTGGTTAAAAAGTTTTAATGTATCCCCCCATACAGACTAACAAGGAAAAAGCAGATACTACTATCGTTTACTTACAATGGGAAATTTCTTCAGTATAGCAAATTTAAGGAAGATTGTGAAAATCGTTTATTACAGTTTTTAAATGAGATCTCTGTAAAAGAGCCATTTAAGTTACTCTTAATGTGGTGGGAAACCATACTCGTATAACAAACGGTATACAATACGAAAAACGTATAATAAAATGTTGGTATTTATTTGAAAATAATAGATAGTTCTTCACATTTATATACATATTAAATTAGAAATATAAACATACAACACTCGTTTTGCGTTATTTATTGAAAATTTTAAATTTCACAAACGTTTTGTGTCTCGGTTTATTACATCGTAAGTGTAATATATTCTATACTTAATCAAATATGTATATTCATGTTATCTGAAGTAAGATCTATGAAAAAATAGTATGTGAACATGTGTTATTGTTAAACAAAATTAAAAGATAGGATAACTTGAAAAATAGGTAAAATATTTAAAAATTTGGAATATTTAATGAATAGTCCAAAAAGTGTGTTGCGTGTTCATGTTTCAAATTTAATATTCCATCCACTCATAATACTTTTGATATACACATATGAGAAAATACATGCACATAATTTTGTAGATACCATATTATTTTCCGCTACTCGACATTGAATCACTTACCTGGCACAAAGGCAAGAATACTTCTCCTATGGAATCATCTCTCGAGAATCTGTCGTAATCAAAAACGTGTAAATGCAGAACCTGTAAAATACAATTGAATAAATTTAATTCAATTCCATTGCTACGAACAAATATTTTTTCAACGCTTATGTAAACAATTTGTTTTATTACATTTACAATTAACAACAAACATTTTATTATATATTTATAGAAAGCGAATATTAATGGAATTCGACAAAGGAAATCGATTGAACATTCGTTTTGCTGTATACACATTTTAATTGCAGTGTTTAACGTTTTTTGTTTTGGATAATAAACACATCATTTTAATTGCTTATTCAAAATAAATGTTTTACAAACAAGTATTATTAATTTTATCTCAATTTATGTCTCGATTCTGCGGTAAAAAAGATCAATGTTATGGTACCCATCCACTAGGCAACTAGACAACCGTGCAATTTATGACCAAATGACCAATAAATGTCCAGTTGTAAAAATTTTCGGTGTCCCAGGCAATCGAACAAAATTTCATTCATATTTTTTGAACATTAGAGAAAAAATATATGTATATTTCGAACTTGAAATGAGATAAAATCGACTTTTGTTGCAAATTTTAGTTCGTTTTCATTTTATTTAAACATTGATTTTTTATATAAAAATCATATTAAAGTTATTCATATTAAATTAATGTTGTACATTTGCAACAGATGAATTTGGAATGAATTTTGTCGTAAATATAAAGCTCAAAATATTGTTGAAACGTAGACCTATTGCAGTTATAACAAATTATTCACGATTTACATTATATTAGAACTTAATTTTAACCTAAAACATGGCCTTTAATCTTGGAATATACGTCTACATTTGAAAGGGTCGTGCAATGTGGATTTCATAAGTGAAATTAAATTCCAAACCAACGACTCATATTTTTTGAGGTGCAATTAAAAACGGACAACTTTTAGAACAAATCTCTATTATATTTATTTTTGAAGGAAAAAACACGAATTAAAAATCTTCATGGCATTGAGCTTTTACATGATGTACATGATGTATACAGGAATGATTGCTACCCCTGGTTCACTTCAAAAACTAAAGTCCGTGTAACAACATGTGTAATAAATAATCAATAAATGTATCTTTTTCAATTAGAACTTAGTGACAAATGAATAGTACAATTAGAACTGCAACAAATATATAAACTATACCAACAAATTAACGTTTGATACAGTCCACAGCTACAAGGTTTAAATTATAACCCAACAACCTGAATACCGAAGAAGTGTTTTAATACATTCCATAACTGCGTGACGCACATACAGCTAAGTCATGCTGCACTTTTCATATAAAATGGTACTAAAAACTGACATAGTACTAAACTGTCAATAGTATAAACACTCAATAGTGCTAAAAACTAGCAACTTCTATGCAGTCAGACGTCAGGTAAAAAATGCAATGTATTTGCTGCGCAGTCAGGCGTTTTAGATAAAAAAACCTAACCTAGGAAACGCATAAATATCAAAAAAGAATGTTATCATAAGTGCATTTTTTGATGTGGTAGCCTGATCAGACAGCAAATACATAACCAACCTTTTGACAGTTTTTACTACTATTTTGTATGAAGAAAGCAGCGTATTAATAGCGTTGCCATTACATTGGTCGATTTAACCGCCACAATTGGGTTATAATTCTGTAATCTGTTAGATAAAACAATGAGCAAAGATTGTTAACGATATGAAAGGGATAGCATTTGATTATAACAGATACTATCAGAAGAGAATCTATTAGGAGTATAATATAAAACAAATACAAGAAGAAAAATAACAATACAAAAGTAAAGGGCTTCCGAGTACATTTGGCTTTGTTAATCGTGAGAATGAACGTTGATTCTGCTTCTATAATTGGTAGCGGATAATTTCATAAATAAGAATGAATAAGAACAAATCTCATTCATACATATATAAGTATTGAAATTATTATTTAAACATTTACATCAACTCAAAAATATTTTATCTGAAAGGAAACGCATGAATAATTCTATCATCCTTATAAAATCAATCATCATATCCAAACTTAAGTGTATGCCGACAAGTATGATCATGTTCACGTAGAGGCACTTTGCACAGTAAGTTATATATAAAGTTTGTTTCGAAATGACAAGAGCATTCTTACCCTAGACTGCAACTTCTGTATCGGAAAACCTTCAAAGTAGAAAGTTTCGTTCCATCTAGGGTTGAGCGTCCGACGTTTTATTTTAGTTTCCAGCCTGTGTTTTTTGTCAGGCAATAGAGTGACTCTGACGTACGGGTCCGACGTACCGGAAAGATCTTTTGCAGGTAGCTCTTTGCCCTGAATAAAAGAAAAAAATGTCCACATGAATTATTCAACATTTCAGTTATACAAGTAAATTCAATTTATTTGCTCGTTGCAATGTAATCAAAGAATAATGGCTGATTCTGTGATCAATATACTACGGATACAGTTATGTTAAAGTCAAATGAAGATGTTTGTAACTAGCGGTGCAAGGCATTGTGCCTTAAGAAAAATTGCTGGAACTTCCCGTACCAGAATTAATATATTCGAGGAAAAAAATCAGTAATCAATAAATATTGATCAATGATTGATAACAATTGTTTTAAACATTTTCAAATAAATAATTATAATCACTACATATTTTATCGTTCATAAAATATACAGTGACAACATTATTATTGACCAAAACACTTGAGAAAGTTTATATTAGCAATAAGTGCTGAATAAATCCATCTTAGATTATATTGCTTACGACTAGAATAACGAATTTGAAATATTTACATTTTCAAACTGGTTTGTAAGTTTAAATTTCATATTTTAAGTATAAAGCTTTGTATATTTTTGAAAAAAAATTCTGGAAATTTTGTAATTAGCTTGAACCGTATAAGTGAACTTCAAGAATTAACATCTTGTTGAAACCCAACAAACTTGTAACAAATCAGTACTCATTTTTGAAAATTTTATCAAATATCTTATAATTTGATGTGCATATGACTAATGATTTTCTCACCGCCAAACACCATTTTTTCACTTTTTCCTCTGTATCTATGAAACCGCTAGACCTGCCTTACCAAAAATTTCACAAATTCCTTATATCGTCAATACAATTAACATGTTCTTTGAATCATTCAAATCGGATACTCCGTTCTCTCACAAATTACCGTTTTTGGCACTTTTTGCCCTGTATTTGTACCAGAAACTAATCAGCATGCCGTCTAATCAATAGGAGTCGAATGTTTTTGAATAATTCAAATCGGTTGATTTGTGCGCCCGAAATCGTGGATGAAAAATTGTATCTATACATTTTTCTAAGGTATGCCAAAAGTAAAATTGTGCCCCATAGATTTATGGAGTTCAAACGATAATGTAAACCATATTGTTAAATATTACAAAGTTAACATTATATATATTGTACACATTATATTAGCGTCATATTACATTTTTTTAATTGATATGCAATTTAATTTAATGTTGATACACATTTCTTATAAAAATAAAAGATAAGTAGGAATCCTGCTGGAAGAATGAGATTTACTATAATTATATACAGTTTTTATAAGAAAATTTAAAAGGCACGTTTTCTCTATATAAATATAAAATGGCCATAACCTTATTAAGAAATAATAAGAAATAATGTAAAACTCAAAGCATGTTATTCAATAGTAAATAACGCAACTGTAAAAAATATATCCTTCAATATGAATTTAAATAATCATGCAGCGTTATTATTTAATTCACTTTATCGTATGTAATTAAGAAGTGTATATATATATATATATATATATATATATTATGCACATTTGCATTAATCATGTGCATATATTCAACTCTATAAAACATTTTTTTACTGAGAGCACTACCCTCTGAACTATTTATAGCTGGCGAATATTATACGTTATTCCAGTTGCAACTAAATTTAACTTATGTACTTGGTTTTTTCATAAAATTAATTTTATTAAAATATGCAACTCATGTTGAAATATACGTTTCTAAAAAATATCTGAAAAATAATGTATGAGCTAAATAAACATTGAAACGTAATTAATGAATAAAATTAATTAGAAATTTATTTTTATAATAATTCTCTCGTCAAGACTATATAAACTTTAACTAATAAAATTATAATTATTATATTAAATTAGAAAAAAGAAGTATTATTGTTTTTTTAGATTTTGTTGATAGTAAATATAAAGATATAACATCAAATACATTTTATTGAACGTTGTATATTTATTTCAAAAACGTATATAGTGAAGTTATTTTTCAAACAGTTTATATTACGAGTATACAGCATGAAACAACATAATAGTAATAATGAATTATTCATTATAGTAAGTTTTTACAGAAATTGTCATTTTTATTGCATTTTCACCATTGCAAGAAAACATTATAAATAATTTTTATATCAATTTTCAAACAAAAATAGTTTTAACTGAATAAAATTATCATTATAAAATATATGGTATCAATTTAAATGCAGGGATTCGAGAAGAATTTCTAGATTTTTCAGACTATTCGCCATGGAAATTCGAAAACTAAACCATATATGTTTCGCAAAAACGCATTAAATATTAACTCATTAGTCGAATTAAGTATGAATATACAACATGTCATAATATTAATCCTTTAAAAATAATTAACTTAACATCAAACGGTTAAACAAAATAATCCATCACCATTTTCTGCGTTTAATGTAAAAACAAATATTGCGCAAGCATAATTAAATCACAAATGAAAATTTAATTCCGCGAAATATTTTAAAATAAGTCCATAAAAATGATGCTTAAAATCCACAAAAGAGATAAACCAATCGCAAAAAATAAAAAAAATGTTTATATATCATCATGTTTCAAAAACTTCTGAACATTTTGGCACACCTTAGTTAAATTGTTGTGTTTGTAAGTGTGTATATGTATGTATGTAGAATGCATGATTGTATGTGTAGATACAATCTATTGTGTAGAATTTCTAGAGCACAGATCAACCGATTTGGATGATTCAAAAATATTTGATTCGTATTTGGCATTTAAAAATGATCAGACGTATGCAAAGCAAATTATCAGATAATTTATAGAGATATTAATAATCAGTACAAATTTTGTTGATATCTCTATTAATTCCGTATCAAGATTTATAATGTTTAATCGTTAGAC